ATCCTCTGGCACCACATCGACAACAGAAAAAACCTTTGGATCTAAACCTGAATATCAGTGGGAGTTGCCCCAAACACCACTGGTGTGGCCCAAAAACAAAAGTTTTCATATATTTCATATATTGCTACTGACTCTTTTATATTAAGATATATTGCCCAGAGGCTGCGATATGGTAAAATAAGTGCCTAAAAAAATTAAGTGCTTAAAAAATTTTTTTAATTAAAAAAAAATTTTAAAAAAACTGCTTCAAATGCATGAGGCTCCGAGTTCAATCCTAGAATCAGTTACTCCTCAGTTACCTTCCTGAGCAGCCAAAGTCAGGCTTCCCTTTGCTGTCACGAGAGCATTCAGAGCCACAGTAAGGATCACTGGCAGATGTCTCCCCGCTGCAACCCTACTGGCCCAGGTGCACGGGTTGGGTTGGTCTCGGCCACTGCTGTCTTTAAAGCACCCAACACAGAGCCCGGCACACAGACACAGCTCAAAGATTTTGTCAGCTGAGACAAAAGCACAGGGAAACAGGCACTCTTGTGGCAGGTGTGGTGTTGGAATGTTGTAAGCATGAAGCCCTACCACTGACAGTATTATGTTATAAATCATCATGGCTAAAATATAATTTAAAGAAACTTTTGTCAAATCACGGAGACGGCTCAAAGGGTGGTGCACAGGCTTTAAATGCTGGAGTCCCAGGTTCAACCCCCAGCACCACATGGTCCCCCGCTTCAAATCTCAGCACCATAGTAAGTGCAATTCTCTGGCACCACATTGACAACAGGAAAAAAAAAAAACCTTTGGATCTGAACCTGCTTTATCAGGAACAGAAAACTTCGGAAAATGATGGCAGGAGAAAGCTGAAACCAGGACCACCTATCAAGAGGGTTCATCAGGGAGCTAGTTCCAATTTTACAAAGACCAGTGCCATCCACTAAAGAAATGGTTTTCATAATCCATCCTATGATCTATGGAAGACACAGTTACCTTCAACTAATTATCACCTGAGACAGAAGGGTATTATTTACTAAGTAAGCACACACTGAAAGGGCATTTACTAAGCAGAACTAAGTATGCAGAACAACCATATTAAATGGTCGTAACCTTGCCAAGCTCAAATGGCAAGTTCGAAGTCAATTTCTGGCTTCCCTTTTTGATAACTTGTTTGCCTACACTGGCTCTTTTCACTTATTTTTTTTTTTTTTTGGTTTTGTTTGTTTTTGGGCCTTTGGGCCAGTTGTGCTCGGAATCACACCCAGTGGTCCTCAGGAAACCGGGAACTGTAGGCAGTGCAGAAAATCAAACTAGGGTCAGCACTGTGCACTGTAAGTACCTTAACCTCTCTTCTATCTTGCCAGTCCTCTTTCCACATGATTTTTTTTTTTTTTGGCTTTTTGGGTCACACCCAGCAATGCTCAGGGGTTTATTCCTGGTTCTGTATTCAGGAATTATTTCTGGCGGTGCACAGGGGAACCATATGAGGTGCCAGGGATCGAACCCGGGTCATCCACCTGCAAGGCAGAAGTCCTACCTACTGTACTATCACTATGGCCCCTTTTTCCACATGTTAAGTCAAACCTTGAAAGCTGAGGGACCAAAGCGATACTACAGCATGTAGGGTGTTTGCCTGACCCACATTCAATCCCCAGCATCCCATATGGCGCCCCCCAAGCACTGCCAGGAGTGATTCCTGAGTGTAGAGCCAGGAGTAACCCCTGAGCATCGCTGGATGTGGCCCACGAACAAACAAAAATCTTGAGAGCTGAAACTGTTTTGCTTCAAATAAGTTTTCCTTACGAAGCAGTTCTGGGCATTCTTCGGTACCCTCCATAACAATACCCCAAAGTTTCTAAGTTTATCTATAGCTCCCCAGACTCGAAGGATGAGGAAGAATCAGGCAAGGCTCTTTCTCGGTACTCTAAACTTTCAAAGCTAGGCAAAGGCAATGATTCGGAACCCACATGCCAGATGAATGAGGAACAGATTTGAATTGAGAACAGAGGGCAAGAACACCGAGTAAAGAGCACTGCTGCTATTTCCTTGCGGAGCAGCTCCCCACCGAACCTCATTTTGTATGGAACACCCCATCCCCTCTAATCTGGGGCATATCCCCCAAGCGACCTCTCGCCAACGGGAACTCTGCCAACTACTGCTAGGGAGCGGTGTGAAAAACAGCGGCAACAAGAGCCTACTCTGAGAAGGAGATCAACAATCACACTCCAGAAGAAAAGAAGTTACTTGGCAAAAGGACGCAAGTTGCCAAAACGTTAGTAACAGCTTCAAGGTCCCAGTCTGTGTCCCTGTCACTATTCTTTGCCTTGACAGAGCCCATTCTTTGGCCCAGGAGGCCCAGCTTGGCTGGTGTCACTCTCCCCATTTGAAGCAGTCAAGAATCCTTTCAATATGGCGGTCTCAAACTGTGACACACACAAGATGTCCACCAGAGACTAAGAGGGAGAGAAAGGTATAATTTGTTGTTTTCCACTTAGCCCTGGCTTAAGCACAGCAGCGGAGAAACAGAAGATCATTATGCTTGAGAAGCAGGCGGGCTGGGGCTGAACGGAGAGCACAGGCTTGACGGATTGGAGTGCTGGCCTAACATGTGAGAGGCCCAGGTTCCGCCTCTCATGAGGCCTCGTCCCCTGAGCACCACCAGGAACAAAACCTGTGCACTGAATGACCCCCGAGCACTGACAAGTGTGGTCTAAAATCAAAATTTTTTTAAACTTAAAAAGAAGGTCATACCAAAAGTCTAGAGCTTTGAGCCCTAATTTATTTCCAAAATCCTCATGAAAGCAAACCAGGTGGGAATCATACCTGCCACGCACGTAGTCAACCAAGGTTCAATTCCCCCAGCACTCCATATGGTCCCCCAAATCAAACCAGGGTTGGAGAGACAGTACAGGGGGTAGGGCACTTCTTAAATGTGGCTGACATAGGTTTGATCTTCAGCACCCCAGATGGCCCTCTGAGCCCCAGTTGAAGTGATCCCTAAGCTCAAAGTAAGCCAGAAGTAATTAGCCCTGAGCACCACCAGGTGTGATCCAAAACCAAAAAGCGCCAGTCAAAAGGACACACTGGGGGCTGAAATGAAAGCAGCATATTAAGCAGGTCTTTACCTCCCCAAAAAAGCATATACGCTATATAACCGGCAGCTTTTCCTGGATTTCAGTGTGCAGACTATGGTTTGCTGAAACAGCCTGAGCGAACAGCCTGTAAATTTCAGAATTAGCAACAGAAAAACAGACTTAAGTACAACAGAACTAAGAAAGAACATCTGACAATCTGATCCTCAATAGGAACAGGCCTCCTCTCTCCCTAAGTCCTCACTAAAACTTAGAAACGCCGCAGTTCTCCACACCGTCACTTTCTCCTGCATTTCACCTTTGTGCTGACACCACCTAACTAATCAGGACCCACCAAGATAAATACTACTTTGAGATCAAGTGTGAGGTAGACTTGGATCCTGTGCCCTCTTAAGCAAAGCCACATCAGATCTCAGAAATGCCAAACTTCCAGAAGCCTTCAAAGCAAGTTCACCTTTTGGTCAAAGTGTTTAAAAGTATTATGCCCAAAGGAAACTTTATCAGGAAGAACTTTTCAAAAGCTAAAATAGTCCATAAGCACATCAGTACCCATGAACCAGCAACGGGTAGACACTGGTTACACCAAAATTAAGATGAACTGGGGCCAGAGAGGTAGTACAGTGGGTACAGAGCTTCCCTTGCACATAGACCCAGATTGGCTCTTCAGTACCCACAATGTCCCCCAGCCCTCCAGGAATGATCCCTGAGCACAGCACCAGAAGCCCTGAGTACTGCCAGGTGTGGCCAAAAAGAAAAAAGGGGAAAAAAAGGATAAACTATCTAAAATGCTAGTTTTGATGAATTCTCAAGAGTTCATGAAGACCAAAAAAAGAAAAGAAGGGGCTGGAGCGATAGCACAGCGGGAAGAGCATTTGCCTTGCATGAGGCCGACCCGGGTTTGATTCTCAGCATCCCATATGGTCCCACAAGCACCGCCAGGAATAATTCCTGAGTGCAGAGCCAGGAGTAACCCCTGAGCATTGCTGGGTGTGACCCAAAAAGAAAAAAAACACTCTAGTGGCTAGAAAATACTATATTCTCTATCAACCAGTTTCATTCATCCCAACTCTAACCTCCCTCTCCCCATCTTGATGAAGCCATTACAATGTAACACAGTCACCTGACTTTTGTTTGCTACTTAAAATTGCCTGAGATAAATTTAAAAAGGGAATTACAGCTTGCTCTTCAAAGCCAGCGTTCTCACTAGAACTTGTATCTCATTTGCTTGTCTCTATGTATTTTTGCTTGCTGGCTTGCTTTTCCACTTTATAGAGAAGCTGGTGTTCTCTCCAACTTCTTTCTCTTCTCTCACATCTAAGTTTCACTCAAGAAAAACTACCTTGCTTCACTTAAAAAAAAAAAATTGCATGTCAAATCAAAAGCAACTATTCCCAACACACACACACACACACACACACACACACAGAGTCAGGCTGAGAAGATCTGAGGAAGTCACATCTTCTTTAAATTCTCTCCATCTTGTTTTCTGAGATCACTTACCTGCTACCACTTTGAAGATCCCACCTGATTAACACAATTTTCAGAGGCCACGTGGGCCCAAAGCTGCATTTCAAAAAGGGGGAAAGAGGGAGGAGGCAGAACTGCCTCAAATGACTGCCTCAAAGTGACTTAGTAAATTCCACTGGAGGCTAGAAGAATCCTTAACTCTCTGAGGGTCTACTGATTTGTAAAAGAAAGAGAAAGGCACCCCAAATACCGAAAAACCTTAGGGCCAACCTAGCAGCAAGGAAAGAGGAGGTGGTCCAGGACAAGAGCTGACAGTCCCTCAAAAAAAAAAAAAAAACCATGCATTCCAACACACCCCGGCTTCTAGCAAGCTGCCCATCCCTTCTGCCCACGTCTAAAACCAGGCGATTTCGAGCCCCCCCTCTCTTCCCACCAGAAGCCTCCTGTCAATCCCACCTTCCATTCATTCCCGGCGGATTCCTCCTCAAACCCGGCTCCGGGGCGGGAGCACTGGCCCCGGCCCGCGGCTCCGCCCCGGCTCGTCCCCGCGACCTCCTCGCCGCCAGCATCCTCCAGCGCTGCGCCGGCTCCCAACAGGTCCTCCCGCCCGGCTCCCGCTCCTGCGCGCCCACCGGCTCCCTCCCCTCGGCGCGGCCGGCCCGAGCCCCACTTCCGGCCGTCCCGCCAGCCGCCGCCGCCGCCGCCGCCAGGCCCCCGAGCGCGGCCCCCTGCCTCGCGCCCCCCGCGCCCCCGCGGCACCCGGAGCGCAGGCCCCGCCCCCGGCCCCTGCCGCAGGCCCCGCCCCCTGGACCCTCGCCCCCCTCCAGGCCCCTCCTCCCAGGCGCCCCCTCGCTCCTCAAGCCCCGCCCCGGCCCTCCGGCCCCCTCAGGTCCGCAGGTCATTGGCGCGGCGACCCCAGCCTTTCCCCGGCCCCGTTCCCACCTGGCCGCGGCTGCTCCGGGAGCGAATCCTCCGCCACCTCCACTCGGGCTTCGTCCCCTCCTGCTCGGCCCCCAGCAAGCTCCCTTTTTGCGCCGCCGCCGCCCCTTTTGCCAACCCGGAAATGGATCTGCTCCCACCGTTCCCAGCGTCCGCGAACAAAATGGAGGCGGGGGAAAGCGGAGGAGGGAGCCGGGCGCGGAGGCACGCTGCGCGCAGGCGCAGCCGGAGAGCCCGCCCCCGTCGGCGCCCGGACGGGCGGGCGAGCGGGCTCTCGCCGCCATCTTGGGAAGGTCGCTGGAAGGCCCAGCAGCCCGGGGCGGTGGGGTTTGCCGTGGGCTTCACCTGGAAGGAGCTTGCTCACTGCCCTTGCCGGAGTTCTTGCCCTAGAGAGTCTGATTTAATAGATCTGCAGTCATAGCATAAGCATCAGCGCTTTTAATATTGGCCGGCTTGGAAGGTCACTGAACCAAGAGGGTCTTTTTTTGGGTCACACCTGGCGATGCACAGGGGTTACTCCTGGCTTTGCACTACAGGAGTTACTCCTGGCGGCGCTCGGGGGACCATATGGGATGCTGGGAATCGAACCCGGGTCGGCCGCGTGCAAGGCAAAAGCCTTACCCGCTGTACTATCTCTCCAGCCCCCTGAAGAGGGTTTTGAATATAGTATTGGCTTGATTTCACACCCTAATACATACACACCTACCCACAAGTTTATCTCCAAATTTGGAGATAAATACCCACCCTAGCCCAGTTTTGTAAGGGGCCAATAGTCAAGCTCCTGTTGTCATAGCAACAGAAGGCCACCTTCCCCCCCCCCCCATGCTGAGGTCATCATAGCCACCTGCTTGCCCTTAAGGCTGTGAACACGCACCTTCTCAAGAAGGCTGGTACTCTGAGGAGGTGCCTCAGTTTTCAGGGCTGCTGAGAAGCCACTTGGGGCAGTGAATACTGTGCACTCGCAATGGACAGTTCGTCAACTCAGCCCCAGCTAAGAATCTCTCTCCACCCACAGAAGTATTTCCCACTACAACCCACCTTACCGCAGTCTTGCCTCAGAATGCGCCTTGGGTCCCACATCCTTGCACTGATTCCCAAGTGAAGGCACAAGATTGGGTCTTAGTTCCAACTGCTTCTCAGCCAGATGCCTTTGGGTCTCATCTACCCCTGTATAATAGAGTCTAAACATGCCTGTGCCTCCTATTTCCTGGAGTTGTGAAAGGCTGGAATCAGGGAGTGAATGAGAAAGCACATGACAAGCATAGAATTATTATTACTGTTTTTCTTCTGGTCTGCCATGAGTTGTGTTCTGTACCACCCACTAGCCAAGTCGAAGTCACAGCATTTACACATGCCTACTCTGGGCCAGGCACTGGGCTGGGCACCAGAATATGGCTCCAGAGGTGACTACGGCCCTCGGGGAACTCTGCCTGGTGGGCAGACGGGCATGTAAATAAGCAGTTGAGCCCTACAACAGCAGGTGACGAGAGCCATGGGGACATATGTGCTGTGGAACGTCAGAAAGGAGAGTGATTAATCCTGTGAAAGACTGAAAGGAGGTTTCGTAAACAGTTTAGAACTGGGCCTTGAAGGATGAGTAGAAGAGTCTTACTAATGAGAGAAGGCCGGGAACACATTCCAGGCAGAAGGATCAGTGGGTGGGAAAGACTTTGAGGTATGTAGTCCTGCATGTCTGAAGGCCACTGGGTGGGAGGCAGGGGGATCTGAACTCCCAGTTCTTCAATCTCACCTCCCCTCTCTTCCCACCTCACTCACTCACTCTACCCCCCACAGATCTGATTTCCATCCCCACGCCAGGTGGTTCCTTGTCCTCGCTGCACTCTGCCTCTTTCTCGTGCCCTCATTCAGTGCAGGCCTTAACTCAAAGGTCTCCGCTATAGCGGCCATTCCCCATAGCTAATGTAAGCCCTCCCCTTCCCCCATTCTCCATACCGTCACCCCATGAGAAGGGCAGCCCCAGGTGGGGAGGACAGGGGTATTTCACTTACATGTGGGAGACAGAGGTGAGGTTCCCCCAAACAAAAAAGAAAATGTAATATTCAAAGGGGCCACGGAGATAGCACAGTAATCAGGGAGCTTGCCCTACTTGCAGCTGACCTGGGTTTGATCTCCCGGGTCAGCCCTGCACATCCCTGGGTGTGGCCCCAAAATAAAAACAAACAAACAAAAAAATCCAGGAAGCCCTGTGGATATGTAGGGATTGTCCAGGGCAGAAAAAAGGGAACAGCGTTTCAGGGCACAAAAATAGTATGTGGGTGGAAAACCAGACAAATGGTTGCATATTCCAACAACTGAAAGTATTTTGACTGGTTAAGAGCTAGAATGTAGGAAAGGCAAGAAATTAGGACAAGTGGGCAGATACAGCTCTCTGGTCAAGCACAGCCTTACATGTGTGAGGCTCTAGGTTTTACACCTGGCACTGTGCGTATATATATATATATATATATATATATACACATACATACATACACATACACACACAAAAATAAATAAATAAATAAATAAATAGTGCAAAAATCCGGGGAGAAACCAGAGGGATAGCACAATGGATAGGGCATTTGTCTTGCACAAGACAGAACCAGGTTTGATCCCTGGCACCCCATATAGTCCTCCAAGCCCCACCAAGAGTGATTGCTGAGCACAAGAAACAGGAGTAACCCCTGAGCACTTGTGGGTGTGGCTCAAGTCAGTCGAGGGAGATAGATCAAAGGGCAGGAACAATTGCTTACATGCAATAAATCCTCAGCATCACATGGACCCCAGAGTACTGCCAGAAGGGACCCCCAAGCAACCAAGCTGAGTGGGCCAATAAACAAAAATTAGGTCAAGACTTATTTATAATAGAAGCCCAAGAGATAGTACCTCAGGTCGGACACTTCTGTTGCATGTGGCTGACCCGGTTTCAATCCCCAATGCTCTATATGGTCCCCCAACCACTGTCAGGACTGATCCCTGAGCGCAGTGCCAGGAGTAAGCTCTGAGCACTGCGAGGTGTGGCCCAAAACAATCATAATATGGAAGTAGAGAGACAGTAGAGGGGAGAAAACTCTTGCCTTGCAGGTGGCTGAACCCTGTTTGATCCCCAGCACTGCACTTGGTCCCCCAGGAACAACCAGGAGTGATCTCTAATCACTGCCAGGTATGATCCCTCCCCAGAAAAAGTAAATGACAGTGATGTGGAACCCAGGATCATTCCTGGTTGAGTTCATCCCTCACATTGTATCATTTCATTATATCCCTGTCCTCTGTGTACAAAAATCCAGGAGCATTTCTTTATTATGTGGGAAACAAAAGGGCCTCCACAAATTTTTATATGGCCCCGTGGAACCACTGTCAAAGTTGACAGGGAGTTAACTGTGAAGGACTTTAATTATCTCTTATATCTGTACCACGTTAGAGTTTAGCCTTAGTGCCACAAGGAAGCCACTGAAAAATTTAAGTAGAGAAGCACCCTGACCTACTTTTTCTTCTAGAAAGATCCCTGTGACTGTTATATGAAGAATGGATTAGTTGGGGGCCACCCAGGATGGAGGTAGGGATGCCTAAGGGCTCTGCAGAAAATTCAGTGAGAGGGTGATGGCATGGATGGCTAAATACCCGCTTGGAATAAAGGCAAGGAGACAGGACAGCCCCGCTGCAGAGCACAAGGCCTCGAGTCCTCATTCTCCCTGCTCCTGATCAGTCTCTCCCAACCTCAGACTCTACACTGCACAGGGGGTAAGATTCACTGGAATGTAACATCAGGACGTGGGTCAAGGGTCTTAGATATTTTCGGGGGGAGTATTTTAGACATTTTGATGATTAAGGTAACAATGTGCATCAAAACTGAATGGAGTGGGGCTAGAGCGATAGTACAGAGGGGAGGACTTTTGCCTTGCACAAGGCTGACCCGACCTGGGTTCGATCCCCGGCATCCCATATGGTTCCCCAAGTACCACCAGGAGTAATTCCTGAGTTCAGAGCCAGAAGTTACCCCTGAGCATCGCTGGGAGTGACCCAAAAAGCAAAAACAAGCAAACTGTATGGAGTAAACACTCCTGTAACCATGTGACCCATATGATCACTGTCTTCCCGTTGTTCATCGATTTGCTCCAGCGGGCCCAGTAATGTCTCCATTGGAGACTTTGTTGTTACTGTGTTTGGCATATCGAATACGTCACGGGGAGCTTGCCAGGCTCTGCTGTGTGGGTGAGATACTCTCAGCAGCTTGCCGGGCTCTCCGAGAGCGGTGGAGGAATCGAACTCGTGTCGGCCATGTTGGCTGCATGCAAGGCGAATGCCCTACCGCTGTGCTATCACTCCAGCCCGACTCATATGATAATAAGTAAAAATTGTAATGAGTTTGCTGAAAAAAAAATTAAAAAATAAATTTGCTGGGACAGAAAAGATAGTACAGCAGGTAGCAGGTAGGGTACGTGCCTTACATGCAGCCAACCCGGGTTCCACCCTGGTCATTCCATATGGTTCCCCAACCCCTGTTAAGAGTGTTCCCTGAGCATAGAGCCAGGAGTAAGCTCTGAGCACTGCCAGGTGCACCCCCTACCCAAAAAAAAAAAAAACACAAAAAGCCTCCCCCAAGCTCCCGAGCTCTGCAAATTTGTTGTACTTCATATGTGGGGCCTGGGATGTGGCTAAAATGATAAAGCACAGGCCAGAGCAATAATGCAGTGGGGTAGGGCTCTTGCCTTTCATGTGGTCAACCCAGGTTTGATCCCCA